TATAAATCCTAAATCCTAGGGCTTATTTAAGGGGATACTGGGAGTGTAGACTATAGCTCATATGGTTTGTCACCGGCACTAATTTGTTTGTCGAGTCTGATGCTTGGTTGTTGAGGGTTTAGGGTCTTGGGTTTGCGGTCTAAGGGCATTTCTCGGCTGTTACCGTCCCTCATCATGGCCATACAAGTATATGCCCTTGAAAATTATAGTGTCCTTAAATAGGGGGGCCCACTATAGACCCCAAAACGCTTAATCCTAACCATAGTGAGCCCTGAAAAAGGATCCTTAACCCCTAAACCTTAAACCCTAGGCCTTAAACCCTAAACAACTGAACCCTAAACCCTTCAAACTCCTGAAGCTGAAGTGGAAGTCTCTCAGGTCCGCATAGAACTTCCGAAAAGGCAGTTTAGGGTGTAGGGTTCAGGGATTTAGGGATTAGGGTTTGGGGATTTAGGGTTTAGGGATTTAGGGTTTAGGGATTTAGGGTTTAGGGATCTAGGGTTTAGGGCTTAGGGTCCTCAGCAATCCCCATGTATCCTGTGGTCTTTTGGACCCCCTCCCCTGCCGTACTGCAAGTACTGCAGATTCCGCAGTTGCTGCATTTACTGGTCTAAGAAATGGGGCATGGGGCATAAATTAGGGTGAGCAAGAAGACTCAGGCATGCTATTGTTGAGAGCTAAACAGTTCTCAAGTTCTCAAATAGTCACCAGGGTTTCGGAGTTTCGGGAGGACTTGCATATCCATGTATCTATCTATCTATCTATCTAGCTATCTGTCTATCTATCTAATGTATACGCATAGATATATGTATACATATACAAGGCCATTCCCGCAGTGTGTACACTTAAGGGCCAAACATTAAGCCCTGAACCATTTTGAGTTCGGGGATCTGGGCCAAGTCTTGTGTTTTCTGACGTTGGGAGTTTGCTTTGTAATGGTCAGAGGTGATTGTTCTTAAAGGACTGTCATGGGAACCCCAAAGCAGGGACATCCAAGAAATAGAGTAGAAATCTTGTAAGCATATACTTACCAGGGTCCTGATATTCCTACTATCCTTAGACACCACAGACCTTCAATTTTAGGATTTCATTTAACGAATTATACTATAGGGTCCTAAAACTGAAGGTCTGTTGGGGCTTATAAGGATATTCCTAATTAATTACTTACCAAGGTCCTGATATTGATATGAGCTGTAGTCTAAACTCCTTAAAGAGGGTTTATATAGGGGATTATATGGGGGACTACTATAGGGGTTATTAGAAGGGATACTAGGAGTTTAGACTATAGCTCATATTGTTACGATATTTCCTAGTTAGTTACCATATTCTTGAGGTTGCCTGCTTGGGGTCCCCACTCCAGACCTTCTATGTTTGGTTTCCGTGGGGTTCAAGATATCTTAGTATCCACGGCCGTATATGCAGCCTTGTTAAGGGCTTATGCATAAAGTGTGGAGTGTCAAAAAGCTTGCAAAACGAACATGAGTTAAAAGTACTGCTGCTGAAGGGAGAGTGGGCGAGCAGATCTTTCCACTAATCCCTATATAGTCCCCGTATATACCCCTAACTATAATCGTCTAATTTCAATCACTGTCCCACTCCACCTCAAGCACCAGCAAGTTCAAGCAAAACACACGGTAAGAGCCTACAAGAGCACGAGCTTGTCGGGGTTCCCCGAGGTTTGAAGTATGGGCCCCTAATCCCTAAGGGTCCAAGTACCCAAATAGTTAGGTACTTGGGATTTGGGTAATAGTATTTATAGTATAGGTTTTGGATAAGTATATGATTATCAGGTACTTGGGCCCGAATGAATATGGGCCCTTAGGCCGATTAGGGGAACTCGAGGGTCAACATGAGAGGTGCACATAGGGTATATAAGAGGGTATATTAGAATCCTAGGGCTAAGGGCCCGAAACCCTAATCCCTAAACCCTTACCCATACTAGGAGCCCATGGTTTCAACCTAGAACATATCCCACGGCCCTCCTGGTACCTTTACTGGGGGATATTGTACCTAATCGCGCCCTAGTGGAGAGTAGGTGGAGGGTCAAGGTCATTAAGAGCCACACGCAGCAGCATTTTAAACCCTAGGCCCTAAAACCTAAATGTGCTCAGGCCGGTAACTCGCAAAATCGAAGTCTTCGCCGCGCAGGTTCGGTGTTCTTCAGCGTCCAGATTAAGCCGGGGTTTCATGGGTTTTAGGGTTTATGGGTTTAGGGTTTCGGGTCAAGGGTTGGGGGAAGTGTTACTTAGCATTCTTCGTATCATCTGTTTATAGCATACCTGGAAGTCCCAGTCTGATCCTGTGGGCTTCCATGCTAGTAGATGCCTAGAACGAGCCGTGCATGATGTCATGACAAGCACAGATATCAAGCAAAATCCGTCAAAGCGACCTTTGTTGAGCCTAAGCCCTAACATGTTCGACTCCTTAGGGTGGAGCGAGGTTTCGGCTTGACTTTGCGTCAGCTGACCCCATAGGGGTTTACGTTTTAGAGTACCCCCAGATCTGAGTACTTGCGATGTGAGTAATGCTCATTCTACTTCAGGCTTAGGGCGAGTGTTTGATGTTAAGGCACTTGGACCCCTAGGGTGAAGGTAGTTGAGGCCTGAAAACCCTAAACCCTTAACCCCTTACACCCTAAATCCTTAACCCTGAAACCCTAAACCCTTAAACCCTTAAACCCTAAAACCCTAAACCCTAAAACCCTTAACCCTAAAACCCTAAAACCCTTAACCCCTTAAACCCTAAAAGCCTAAACCCTTAAACCCTTCATCCCTAAACCCTTAAACCCTAAACCCTTAATCCCTAAACCCTTAACCCTAAAACCCTAAACCCTTAACCCTAAAACCCGAAACCCTTAACCCCTTAAACCCTAAAAGCCTAAACCCTTAAACCTTTCACCCCTAAACCCTTAAACCCTAAACCCCTAATCCCTAAACCCTTAACCCTAAAACCCTAAACCCTTGAGCCCTAAACCCTTACACGGCAGACCCTGGACCCTGCCCTCTGCAGCCGGTCTCGGCTCGTAAAGCCTCCCCAAATACTTTCAAAAGAGCCCAAATGCCTATGCGGTTCAGGGTTTAGGGTTTAAGGTATAGGGTTTAGGGTGTAGGGTTTGAGGTATAGGGTTTAGGGTTTAAGGTATAGGGTTTAGGGTTTAGGGTTGAGGGTTACTTAGGGGCCCTAAACCCCAAATTCTTAACCATACACCCTGGGTTTGGGGTCCTTGTAATCCCAGCTCTTCGGCCGAACACCGCCGCGCACGGAGCCATGGCCGAGGAAGAGGCAGAGATGACTGAGTACCTCGGTTTATGAGGTTTGGGGCTTAGGGTATAGAGTTAAGGGTGGATTTTAGGATCTAGGTTTGGTGTTTAGGGTTTAGGATTTAGGGGTTTAGGGCTTAGAGTGGATTTGAGGATTTGGGGTTTGGGGTCTACGGTTTAGCATTTAAGGGCTTAGATCAGGGTTGAGGATGGGTTTTAGGGTTTAGGGTTTAGGGTTGAACATTTCAGGGTTTATAGCGTTCATTTTTAAAATGTACCTGGACCCCAAAACTATGTAAAATCATGGCCTTTGTGGCTATTACTAGGTGTTTAGGGCCATTGTTTTACATACTTTTGGGGCTTAGGTAATCATTTTTTGAGATTTCGCCGTGTGTCGTTAAGGCAAGACTCAGAGGGGTGGTGCGAGGTGATGGAGTTTGGGCCTAGAGAAGTACCCCTATGAGCCATAGTCTAAACTCCTTAAAGGGGGGTTATATAGAGGATTAGAATATTGGGATAATGGAAAAGAAAATGGAAACTACTATTTGGGGTTTAGGGTTTAGGGTTTAGAGTTTAGGGTCTAAACTCCTTAAAAGGGGGGGTTCTATAGGGGATTATATATAAGGGACTACTATAGGGGATATTAAGGGGGATCCTAGGAGTTTAGACAGTGGCTCATATTAGTGTCCCATATTCCCTGAAAAGCTGTATAATATCGGTATAGATTTGCCTCGAGCCCTAAACACTGAAGCCTATACACCCAAAACCCTAAACTCTAAATCCTAAAAGTCCTAAACACTAAACCCTAAACCCCACCCCCTGAAGACCCTACACAATACCCCAAGCCCCAAATCCTGCCCCAGGTACGGCTTGGAGAGTTTTCATCAACTCCTGGAGCTTCTGATCGATGCCAGCATTCGCCTCGCGCCTTGGGAAGAGTGTTTCCCTACTTGGAGGTTCATGGGACTGAGGGACTATTTAGAACTGGGGTTATAACCCTGCTAATAATTGGGGTAACCCCTATAAGGCCATTTAGGGGGGTTATAAGTAGGGTGATAAGCCCAGTTATAAGTAGTTACTAAGTCCCATGAACCTCCAAGCAGGGTTCCAAATAGCCCAATGTAGGTAATATTTACAGACTTTAGGGCCCAATGTAGGTAATAGTTACTGGCTTTAGGGCTCAATGAATCCTAAAGCCTAAATCCTAAGCCAAACCATGACAAAAACATCTTTTTGACCGGACGCATCCGACAAGAAGGGCAACCCAGTCATGTAGATATCCTCCTCAGTCAGAGGATCGTATAGTACCCTGCGCCTCCAAGTTTGATAGGGTGGGTTTAAGGGTTTAAGGTTTAGGGTTTAGGGTTGAGGGCTGAGGGTTAAGGATTGACGGTTGAGGGATTAAGACTCATGGTTTAGTGTTACCCTAGCGCTTCAAGTTGCCTATATATTGCAGGCTACCGGGGCATGTCATTATAGGGTATATAGAGCCCAGAATCCATTAATTAGGTACCGGAGCCTAGGGATAGTTCATTGACATAATTTTGGGGATTTTAGGAAACCCTAAACCCTAGCCCCTAAACCTTAAACCTTAAGCCCTCAACCTTAAACCCAAAATCCTTCATCCTAATCCCTAACCCTTCATCCTAAACCCTAAACCCCAATCCCTAATCCCTAAACCCTAACATCGAACTGCAGGTGCGGGCCGAGTACCTGCTGAAGCTGGCACAAAAGAGGAAGCTTTGGCCAAGGCGTCAGGAGGCAGAGACTGGGTTGCTGTTAGGGTTTAGGGTTTAGGGGTTTAGGGGTTTAGGGTTTAAGGTTCAAGGGTTTAAGGGTTTAGGGGTTTAGGGGTTTAGGGGTTAGGGCTTAGAGTTATGGTTAAGCTTTGTAAGCAAGGCTGCCCTTATCAAGAAAGTAAGCCCCAGACCGAGAACCTTCAACGTCAA